CAAGACTGCCTGACCTGATTGAGAGTTGACCTATGAATCAGGAGGTCATGATTTGATTCTTGGTCAAGGCACATGGCTGGGTTGCAGGCTCCATCCCCAGTGTGGGGCATGCAGGAGGCAGCCAATCAATGATTCTCTCTCTCATCATGAATGTTTCTCGCTCTTTCTTCTTCTCCCTTCCTCTCTGAAATCAATCTATAATAAAAATGTAACATGCTAATTAGACCGGGCATCATTCCGGATGAAGCCGAGGTCAGAGGGAAGCCAGGTCCTATGTGCCTGCTGGTGGCCTGAGCAAAGCCAGGGTGCCTACAGCTGGGAGAAGGAAAGCCTGCTCTTGAATGAATTTCGGGCATCAGGCCTCTGATAAAAATACATAAAAAATAAACACTCTATAAAATAAAAACGAGGACTTTTTTTTGAGTTTCAAAAGAGTAACAACTGCAGCTTTGTTCAAAATTTATCCTGTTTCTATCATTAATAAAGTTATGGCTTCTTCTTTTTTTTTTTTTTAGAGCTGCTATTATGAAACCTTCGGGCATTATTATTTTTTAATAAATCTTTATTGCTCAGATTATTACAATTGTTTCTCCTTTCCCCCCCATAGCTCCCTACCACCTGGTTCCCGCCCCACCCTCTGCCCTTAACCCCCCCCCCCATTGTCCTCATCCATAGGTGTACGATTTATCCAGTCTCTTCCTGCACCCCTCATACCCCTTTCTCCCTGATAATTATCAATTCACTCCCTTTCTTTGCCCCTGATTCTATTATATTCACCAGTTTAATCTGTTCCTCAGATTTTTAATTCACTTGATTTTTAGATTCACTTGTTGATATATATGTATTTGTTGATCATAATCCTGGGACATTATTTTTAAAAATATATATTATATTGATTTTTTTTTTTACAGAGGGAGAGTTAGAAACTTTGATGAGAGAGAAACATCGATCAGCTACCTCCTGCACACCCCCCACCGGGAATGTGCCCGCAACCAAGGTACATGCTCTTGACCGGAATTGAACCTGGGACCCTTCAGTCTGCAGGCTGACGCTCTATCCACTGAGCCAAACCAGTTTCGGCAAGTATGGTGAAAGACCCCCAGAGGGAGACCCTCACTCTGTCCCACGGACAGACGGCGACCCCAATCAACCGCAGGAGGCATCACTTGATGCAAACAGCAAGAGGCTTTTTATTCCAGCGCGCTGGGGCTCAACTCGTAACTCACGCAGGAGCAGAGGAGTCGAGCCCCAAGCAAAAAATCTTACAATTATATATAGGCAAAAACCATATATCGGGAGGGGAAGAGGGGAACAAAGGAATTCTAAAAGGGGTGCTGGGTTCGTTAATAACATATTCTATGACAGGGCTTGCGCTAAGTCAACAGTCCTGTCTGGTAATCTCATATCCTATTTCACTTAACTGTCAAAGCAAACTTTACTCTGTTATTCTGTTTCTCTTATTTTGTTGGAGCAAATATTGCTCCCTTTACTCCCTGCTCGGGGCTGTTTCCTGAGACAACTTTAAGAGTCCTGTTCCCATCACTGGCGGGGGGGCCTTGGGTAGTTAAGATAACATAGATAGCTTTTAAATATTTTTATTTTTTCAATGGCTTCTTGAAAAAACAGTGAGAGGGCAATGTGCTGGGTCCAGCAGTTCTGAGTTAGGATCATAGAACTCTTTGGGGAAAAGCAAACCAGCCGAGGAGCTGGGGCTGGGGGAACAGCCAGGGAGAGTGGTCTTACCCTGCTGGGGCAGACAACTTACCCAGAGCAGAGAAGCAAGCCCGGTCTGAGGCAGCGCTGCCTGGAGAAGCTGTGTGTCTGAGGCTAGGCACTGCAGATCTGGCTCTATATTAGCAGCTATTGCTGAGATCAGGAACTGGAAGGCGAAGGGAAACTCAGCAGCTGTTTGTTCTGGCCCCTTCAGGGAACCAATCACTGTGATCCAAACAGCCCTATTTCCCCACGACCCCCAAACCCTCGCTCCAGAGCGGGAAGCAGGGAGCTCAGAGGCAACAACATTCCTAGATGGATTAGGCTTTCACTCTAAGTCACAAGGAGCACCCGGGCCCAGAGGGAGTGGGAAGGAGGGGCTGAAAGAGGAGAAGTTACCTTTCTGACTCCCAAACAAGATACCAATCCTTAAAGAATATGCCTTTGTGCTTAGAACAAAGACAGGATCATAGTATTTAAAAACCTAAAGAGATCACTAAGTAACACCCTCATTTACACCAGGCTGAGATAACTCTGACCTTTTCAAACTATGGAGCTGATTGTCGCCAGAGGCCAGATTAGAACCCAGGTCTAGTGATTGCCCCACCCATCCACTCTCCATTTATACCACACGGTTTTTAGAGACTTTTCTACCTTTTCCATCTCATGGCACACAAAACCTAATTACTGAAATTTCACCAGTGGTCCAATCCTTACTATCTGGGACAGAAAGAGAATGTTCATTGTAGTCAATCATTTGTGGAACAAAGTTTAGATTTCAACTAGTCTAGACACATATCATGCCTGATGGGCATGGCTTAGTGGTTGAACACCGACTTCTGAACCTGGAAGTCACAGTTCAATCCCGGTCAGTGCACACGCCCAGGCTGCAGGCTCCATCCCCAGTGGGGCACATGCCGGACGCAGCCAGTCAGTGATTCTCTCTCATCATTGATGTTTCTATCTCTCTCCTTTCCTCTCTGAAATCAATAAAAAAAATGTATTTTTAAAAAATAGACACAGATCATTATATGACAGGTCTTCTGTTCTTGCCCAGTAGGAGAGAGCCTGGCTGTCTTCTGGCTCTCCCACACTGTGCTCTCGGGCAGATGTTGCCTGCTGGACTGATAGAGATGGCCTCTCACCAGTGAAACCTGAACTCTGAAACTCCTGTGGCCAATGAGAGAGGAAATCAGAGCTGGCAACTCTTGGATCACATGTTACAAATGTCAGTAATCGGAACAATGTTCCCAGTAGGCCACTGTAGTTTAACCTGAAGATGCCCTGGGTCTTTGTAGATTGCAACATCACAGAGTTTTCTCATTCCTCTAGAAATCTTTTACTGCTGTGATAGAGGTGACGGTAAGAGATGGTGCTGTGTGCAAACAGAGGGTGCAATGGTAAAGGGTCAGTGACATGGAGAGGCAGGTAGTTGGAGAAAGGAAGATTCTAGTATAAACTAGAACACAGGCATACAGCTGGAGTAAACTAACAGGGCTTCCTGATAATCGTGGAGAACCCTCTTAGATGGCCATTTAGACAAGACAGAAAAAAACTCGACCCAGGAAAAGTCTTCATGAGATGTGATTCTAAGAACAGGGCAGTAGCTAACAATTTTACACTGATTCAAACCTGATGGCCTTGGACTGTGAGTCAAAAGTAAGAACTGAGCTGTTTCGTTGAAATTTTAATACACGGGGCACAGATAGCTGGCTATGGGCCCCTTTCAAAAATGCCTAAAACGAGGAAGGTAATCTTTCCCACCACCTTACCCTTCCCTACCCTCACAAACTACATTGGATTGCTTGGACACCTGCAAAGGAAACGGGGCCACCGCGGGACCAAGTGTCCTGAAAAGATTCCTTCAAAATCTTGTGCCTAGAATTTCTCAAGGTCTGAAAGGCTTTAGGGGGGCCCTCACTAAAACGTTATTTATTTTTTAAATATATTTTGTTGATTTTTAACAGAGAGGAAGGGAGAGAGATACAGAGCCAGAAACATCGATGAGAGAGAAACATCGGCCAGCTGCCTCCCGCACCCCCCCCACCGGGAATGTGCTCGCAACCAATGTACATGCCCTTGACCGGAATAGAACCTGGGACCTTTCAGTCCGCAGACCGACGCTCTACCACTGAGCCAAACCGGCTTTGGCTAAAAACGTTAATCTTTAATTTACAATTTAATGCTAATTTTATTTTCTAAGGCCTTAATTCTCGGGCTCAACATTGCCACCCCGCACCTTTTTTTAAAAGAAAACATTTTATTGATTTATTTTATTTTTTACACAGAGAGAGGATAGAGAGCTAGAAACACCCATCAGCTGCCTCTTGCACACCTCCTACTGGGGATGTGCCTGCAACCAAGGTACATGCCCTTGGCCGGAATCGAACCTGGGACCTTTCAGTCCGCAGGCCAACACTCTATCCATTGAGTCAAACCGGTTAGGGCGCCGCCCCTCACCTTTGGCCAGAGCCCCAGCACCTTAGGACCGCGCTCCCTCTCCTTACCTCGTGGCTCAGACAGCGCTAGGAGGTCCGGTCGTTCTACCTGAGATCAGCATCGCTCCCCTTTCCTGGGAAAGGAGAGGAGACGGGGCTGTAAGGGAGCATCTCTCCCGCCCCCACCTCCATGCCAGCGCTCCCGCCACAGCGTGCTCCAGGGGCGGGTGGAGGTGAAGGGGACAGGGTGCCCGAAACGTTTCCTCCCGCCAGGGCTCGCCCTTCGCCCTCCATTCCCCGCTCCACACTCCGATCCTCGTGATGTCCCGCTTCCCACCTTCCCTCCTCGGGCGAGGCGGCAAGGGCCACCGACCGCTGCGTCGCCCGCACCTGCGATCTCCCCGGGACCCACGCGGGCGCGGGGCACTGGGCACCGGGCACCCCGCCCCCTCGCCTCCAGGCCCCGCCCTCCCCGCTCCTGCGCGGAGCTCCGCCGCCTTCCGGCCGCCCCGGACCTGCCCACCTGCCGCTTCTCCACGCCTGGGTCTGGCCGCCCGCCCAGGGCTGGCTCCCGGCACGCGCGCCGGGTGTGAGCCGGGGCCCGCCCCTGCCCGCCCCGCCATGTCGCCTGGGGCTTGGCGGTGTAGCCCGGAGACCCGGCGGGGACGCGCCCTCGGCGTCCCGGCGCGAGGCTCTCGGGGGGCGGGAGGGGGAGCAGGAGCGGGGCAGGCCAGCGCCCCCTAACGAGGACCGGGGCGCACGGAGGAGAGAGTTGACCTCGGCGGGCTGCAGCACCCCTAAATCCAGCAGGGCCAACCGGCCGGCACCCCCTAGTCTCCGCCCCCTGGGGGGCGGGGCCACAGCGCAAGTCTCGCGAGAGCTGAGAAAGGACATCTCCGAGGGCCGGAAAAATGTCCCCTCGCGTTGCGGGCAGCCCTCCGATCCCGCTGCCCTGGGCCGCGGCCCTGCTCCTCGCCCTGCGCGTGGGAAGGGCCCTGGCGCTACCCGAGGTACAGCGACGGGTCCGAGGTCCGTCCGCCGGAAGCCGAGGCGCTGGGCCGGCATGTGGTCGCGCTCGCCGACCTCGGCCCTCCCCGGCAGGCCGGCCCGCAGCTCCGGTTTTGCCCTTGAGGCCTTCCCAGCCCCATCCCAGCGGGCTCCCGCTCCAGATGACTCACCCGGCGCAGATTTCCCAGCCCCGCCGACATCCCAAGACCTTTCAACTTTGACCTCCTCGCGCCTGGGTCTTTGAATTAAGTTCTTTCTGCAGACGAGCCCTTTGGCTGTCCCGCAGGCTCTCCGCGCACGAATGCCGCTGTGTGTGTCGTGCGGTGGCAGGGCTGCGCTTTTTGTAATGCTTGATGAGTGTGGACCTGCCGTCGTTTTACATCCCGCCAAGCCCCGCTGTCAGGTTGCGAAGTCACTGGAGAGGACATAATAAATATGTCCCGATGGTGATCTTCAAGAACGAGAGGTTTCCCCGGGTGTGGTCTGGCGCTGAAAGGCTCTGGTGCGCTGATTTGGCGCCTGGGAAGACAGGCGTCTAGTGACACCTGATACGAAGGTAGAACACTTCCCTCTGTTCGAGGAATTCTGGAGAGGTGTACTGGCATGTAACATTTGATTCCTGTTTGTTCTTTCTTGGCTTTTTTTATTTTTCTTCCCTGTGGGTCCTAATAGTTTTCTCTTTTCCACAGATATGCATCCAGTGCACAGGGAGTGTGCAGGATTGGTCAAAAGTGGCCCTTTATTGTAAGCAGACGCCAGAGCGAACGTTGCACGCCCGCTGCTGCCTGAATCAGAATGGCACCATCCTGGGGTGAGGGAAAAGACTTCGCCGGATAGTGGAAAAGGGTTCCAAACCCAGATTCGTCAAGGCTTACCTGATTGGCTTTTGGGATAAATATTGGTGTCTCTTTTGGAGGCATCTCAACCATAATTCTCAGACTTCTAAACCTGTTATAGCATTTTTGGCTAGGTAAACAACCTTGTGGTTCATCCTGGTTGAAACTACATACAAGCCTTTGTGGGTTTTTATTTTATTTTATTATTTTATTATTATTATTGTTATTATTATTATTATTATTTTTGCCTTTGTGGGTTTTAAAAAATGTTTTTATTTATTTTAGGGAGAGGGGTAGAAACATCAATGAGAGAGAACTAGCTATCACCTTCCTCTACTGGGAATCGGATTCCAACAGTAACCTCCTTTAGGGGTCATGCTCAACCACAGCCATACCATCTGGGCTCCATTCTTTAATTCCAGCATCTTTTGTGAATTCTCCTTACTACTAAATACCACTGTAGTATTTTTTTTTTTTTTACTCTCACTAATCCTTAATGTTTGTACTAATCAATTTTATTTATAAACTGCCCTGTGATTTATTTCACACTAGAGGCCTGGTTCACTATTTGTGCACCAGTGGGGTCCCTCAGGGTTCCTTGGCCTGCTCTGCACCCTCTTGCAATCTGGGACCCCTCAGGGGATGTCAAACTACCAGTTTCCACCGACCCCCACAGACCTGGGCGGAAGGATCCCATCAGTGCGCCATCTGTTGGGGGAGGGCTCTAGGGCTTGTCCTGCTGGTCTAGCCTAGTCCGGATCAGCAGGACCCCAGTAGCAAGTTAACCTACGCGTCAGAGCATCTGCCCCCTGATGGTCAGTGCACATCATAAAGACTGGTGGAATAGTCCAACCATGGTTGGACACTTAGCATGTTAGGCTTTTAATGTTTATATTGATCCTATTTTTGGTCTTGTTCTCCTACTACATTGTAAGCCATTTGAAAGCTAAAAAAGAAAAGAAAGCTAAGATACTGAGGGATTTATTTTTTTATTTTTTTAAAAAAATCAATCGTTATTGTTCATATTATTACAATGGTTCCTCATTGAGGGTTTTATTTTTATATAACAAATTTCTGCAGTTAGTAGGTGCTCCATAAATATTTGTAGACCAGAGGAACAGATAGCAATAGATACTGAAGAAAATAATGTGGCATGCTCCTTAATATCCAGTGTTTTACATCCAATTTGTGGTAGAAAATGCACTTGGAAAAAACTTTCAATTATATGATTTGAATTTTTTTTCCATTTGAAAGTCCTTTGTGATCTGAGGTCATATCATAATATGAGATTCACTAATCTAGACAAGAAACAAATTTCTTCCAATATATGCACAGATACAAAGAATTTTCTGCTATGATGGAAATATTCCATATCTATACCATTCAATATGGTAGCTGTTACCTACATGTTAATGGTTAACTGAACACTGAAATTTGGCTAGTGCAAATGAGGGGCTGAATTTATTTCAGTAGCTACATGTAGCTAGTTAGTGGTGACTAGATTGGACAGTGCAGCCTTAAAATACCTACTACAGCACCTAGTTTGTAGCCCTGAACACATCTGTGTTCAACTACTACTTAGCAGAAAGAGGGATGCATTGGCCTCTAATGGACAGAGAGAGACATGTAGTTACACTGATTACCTTATTTCCTCAGGCTGGATCTCCAGAACTGTTCTCTGAAGGACCTTGGTCCAAACTTTCCTCAAGCACATACTGCCGTCATCATGTAAGCGGTTCGTTATCCTCCTTACCAAAAAGTGACTGTGACAAAGGGTTGATGGGAAAGTTTTTGGGGATGTACTCCTCAAAAAATGTTTGAATACTGATACCTAAACTTGGACAGCTCAGAATGAGAACAGGAGTACCAGCCCAGGGAGCTGTGTTGACAGAGTGTTTTTCTAAAGCACAGCACTAACAGTTGGTGTCTTTCAGAGACCTGCACGCAAACCCCCTCAAGGATGACTTGGCCAACACCTTCCACGGCTTTATCCAGCTCCAGACTCTGTGAGTAAGGTATGGGGTTGTGGGGAGGGAATCAAAGAGGGGCAGTGTTGTGAGCTCAGCAGCTTGGGTTGCATAGTAAGACTGCTTGCGTTGTGTTCAGGATACTACCACCCGATGTCAACTGTCCTGGAGGCATTAACGCCTGGAACACTGTCACATTTTACCCAGACAACCAAACCTGTGAAGGACAAAGGAACCTTTGCAATAGCACTGGGGACACAGGTATGCTGTCTCATCTCCACCCTTTTGGGGACCTGCCTTTCCTCTTTTGGATCCCCCACCCCCTCCCCACTTAGATCAGAAAGATAGGATTGCTTATGTGCCTTCTTGTTCAGGTTTCTGAGGCTGTGACCCCTTAGAAAGAAAAGATCTTAAAATAGATTTATATTATTATGTTCTGATTATCTATAATCTTTCTTCTCCTTTGACATGGAAATAATTAAATCTAAATTGAAGTACATATTTGAGAAATATAATGAGATCCTATGATATTCTCTGTTTCTCTCTGACTCCCAGAAATATGTCCTGAGAATGGATCTTGTGTGCCTGATGGTCCAGGTCTTTTGCAGTGTGTTTGTGCTGATGGCTTCCATGGCTACAAGTGTATGCGCCAGGTGAGGAATGAATTCTTTTAATTAGGGATAAGAGAAATGCATAGAGCAAACACCTCTCAGAAAGAAGAGCCATAAGACCAGGAGTTGATGCAAATCACCTAGTGAAGGAAACTCTGAAAGAATTGCCCCGGGATGAGGGGATATGTATGTTCAGGAAAAACTGGGTGTTAGGATGTAGCCCTTGGAGTAACACAATATGAGGTGTATGAGGTGTGTGTTTTTTTAAAATCTTTTATTCACAGGGCTCGTTCTCGCTGCTTACGTTCTTTGGGATTTTGGGATCCACCACATTATTCATCTCCATCCTGCTTTGGGGAACCCAACGCCGAAAAGCTAAGGCTTCATGAACTACCTAGATCTCCTACTGACCTAAAGATCATCCCACTATCTTAGGCCAGCCGGGGAGACTTCCTTCCTGGACAGGCTGGTCCGAGGAGCCTCCTCAAGGAGAAGGCCATGGTTGGAAGGAAGATGGAACATTGTGCAATGCTGGATTGTCACACTCCAATCGAGGCGTGGACTAGTCCCAGTTCCCATTTGTGCTGTTAACGATAATAAACTTTTTTATTTTATTTATTTATTTGTTTATTATTATTATTATTATTATTATTATTATTATTATTATTATTATTATTATTATTATTATTATTATTTTTAGAGGAAGGTACCCCGGCTTTGTGTGTTTCTTGGTTGGGGTGGAAGTGGGTTTTCTTTCGCACGTTTCTCCAGGCTTTGCGCTAGGGAGACCCGATTCCTCCGACCTCGCCCGCCGCCGCCCAGGCCCCGCCCCTTACGTGCCGGCCCCGCCCCTCACGCCGCCCGCTGCTCGCGCCGCCGCAGTCGGCTCCCGGCACTCCCGGGGCTTCTGCCGTCCGCCGCGCACCACCCAGCCGGGCGCGCCGCGAGCCACGTGTACCTCCTCTGGGCTCCCGGCCCTCACGTGGTCCCAGCGTTGGCGGAAACTTGCGGTGCGTCCAGCTCTGAGTGCCCACGGCGCGGAGCTCCGTTCCCATGGCGACCCTGGTGTTGGAGGATGGGTTGGTCCTGCGGGGCCAGCCCTTTGGGGCCGCTGTGTCGACTGCCGGAGAAGTGGGTAAGCAAGCCCGGTCCGGCTGCCGCTATCGTTCCACTCTGCGGCCCTTCCCTGCCCAGGCTGCCCCAGACAGACCCCGCCATTTTCCCGCCCACAACCCCCCCTCACCCCCCTTTCGGCGCCCAAGTCCCCCCCCTCCCCCAGCTCCGTTCATCTCATGGTCAGGGCAGCCTCCACTCCAGGGCATTCTCGTGGAGTGGGACAGTGTTCCCAAGGAGGCCCTCCTGAGCCCCAGCCCTGCCTCTTTCTTGCAGTGTTTCAAACCGGCATGGTCGGCTACCCCGAAGCCCTCACAGACCCATCCTACAAAGCACAGATCTTGGTGCTGACCTATCCTCTGATCGGCAACTACGGCATCCCCCCAGACGAAGCGGATGAGTTCGGGCTCAGCAAGGTAGCCACACCCAATGCCTAGGTGCAGCATTTCTCGAACTTGTTTTGTCTTGATTCCAGGTTTTCTGAGCCTTAGTTCTTCATTTGCCTTCCACTCGGGAGAGGGAACTAGGTAAGGGACTTGTTATTCCTCGGAAGGACCACGTCTCATCTCAAACCTACGAATACACTGCATTCTAGTCTATAACGCAGTATCTTCATGAACATGTCAATCTCCAGTTTTGTCAGCCATATACACACTGATGAATTGATTTTATAAACTGCAAAACTGAGGCCCTGACAGAACCAGGGTAAGGCCTCCCAGAGCCACCAGATCGCCACGGATGCTTTTCTGTCACATGTGTTGTAAACACACATATCCACGTGCAGACTAAACTTCCTGGAGCTGAGGGTTCTGCCAGACTGTCCTTTAAATCCCTTTCCATCTTTCCGTAAATCTCCCACTAAGCAGATGTAATTTGAATATGCAACTCCCTCCCACATAAATGACCTATTTCTCTAGTTATTGAATGCTTATCTATTAGATAACAAATTTCTGTTATCTTTTTATGTATATAATTCCCTGTGAAGGAGGAGGGTATAATCTTGCCTAGGTAAATTCCCAGAGCCTTTATCTTTATTTAGTAAGGTACGCTATTTTTATCACAATCTATAATCATGATCTTGCTTATTTACATGTTACCTGGTAAATTTTCTTGCTCCCTGAGTAACAAATTAACATTGTGACCACAGGGACCATGCTCACTGCTCCTCCCCCAGCCCTCAGGAAATGCTTATTGGCTACTATCATGTATCAGTCACCTTGCTCTTGAGGAGTTCACAGTTCTGTGAAAAAGACACAAACTTGTTTTGTCCTGATTCCAGGCTTACTGAGCCTTAGTTCTCAATTGCCCTCCACTTGAAAGAGGGAACTCTAGGTGAAGGACATATTATTCCTCCTAAGGACCATGTCTCATCACAAACCTATGAATATACTGCATTCTAGTTTATAATGTATTATCTTGGTTAACATGTCAATCACCAGCTTTGTCAACTGTAAACCCACACTGATAGAATTGATTTTATAAACCTGCAAAATTGAAGTTTTATGTAAAAAGCAAGAACAGTGGAAAAGAAGCGAACTTAGGTGAGCTCTAAGGAGGAGGTACAAGCTGCAGTGGATGACTAGGGTGGCTTCACAGAAAAGGGGATTTATGATCTCAATTTTGGGTAAAGGAAAAGGAAGGAGAATGTCATTTTCAATTAAAAAAAATGTATTTTTATTGATTTCAGAGAGGAAGGGGGCCGGGAAGAGAGAAACATCAATGATGAGAGAGAATCATTGATTGGCTGCCTCCTGCACGCCCCCTATTGGGGATCAAGCCCACAACACAAGCATGTGCTCTTAATTGAAATCGGACCTAGGACCCTTCAGTTGCAGGCCGACCCTCCATCCACTGAGCCAAACCAGCTAGGGCTCATTTTCAATGATTAATCAGGCACCCTGGGCCCTTGTAGGGAATAGCACTGCTGGTGAAGGGCAAACGCATGAGGGAATGAGGTCATTCAGCGAGGCTGAAGCACAGGGTTCATGCCATACCATGGGAAAAGACGGCATAGCAGGGTACAAGGCCCTGGGCTCTCATGATCTCTTCCTTCCATCAACAGTGGTTTGAATCCTCGGGGATCCACGTGGCAGGTCTGGTGGTGGGAGAGTGCTGCCCCACCCCTAGCCACTGGAGTTCCATCCGCACCCTTCACGAGTGGCTGCAGCAGCATGGCATACCTGGCCTGCAAGGTATGGTGCAAGCACACATGAGGTTGGGCAGAGGACTGGTGCCTCGATGGGAAGAATCAAGAGAAGATCTCTGTGCACTATTGGGACTTGAGTTCACGGTTGTGATAGAATCTGATTTCCATGTACATTGGGGTCTGGAGCAAGGAACTGAGCTCTTGCTCACATGGAAAATTTCAAACGTATAAAAAGGAAAGAAGAGCATATAATTAACCCCCACCAACTCAGGGCTAAACTTATTTCCTCACCATTACTATAACCCCCGGATTATTGTTATTATTTTTTTAATTTTTTTGTTAAATTATTATCTTTGTACATATACCATTGCATATTGTTATTATTTAATATATGTTTATTGATTTCAGAGAGGAAAGGAGAGAGAGAGATAGAAACATCAATGAGGAGAGAATTATTGGTATGCTGCCTCTTGCACACTCCCCAGTGGGGATACAGCCATGCAACCCGGGCATATGCCCTGACCAGGAATCAAACTGTGGCCTCCTGGTTCAATCACTGAGGCAAGCCAGCTGGGTACCCCCGGATTTTTTAATTTATTTTTTTGTTTGTTTAACTTGAGAGTTTTATTAGGGTCTCCATACAAATAAGTCAGGTCATACTTGGGGCAGGAAGCACATGCAACTCAAAAGCCTCACTGAAAAGTTTAGTGAAGGGACTAACTACTCCAAAGGAGAGGCAGGTTCATGAAAAGGAACAGGAGATGGCAGAGCAGTACCAAGTTCTGGCTACAAACAGCTACCAAAATCCACAGGGAGCCCTGTAGGAAAGGGGTCCCGGACGGGAGCATGGCCACAACTCACCCCAGGGTTTTTGAAGCTTATCTCAGACATTGTATCATTTATCCATAAGTACTTAAGTATCTCTGAAAAAGGAATCCTTTTAAAACATGACCACAATAACATTGTACATTTTAAAAAGTAACAGTAATTCCTTAACATCATACATTTTAAAAAGTAACAGTAATTCTTAAATATCGAATATCCAGTCAAGGTTTTAATTTTTCCCAGTTATCTAAGTTATTTTTTTCACGGCTTGTTTCTTTTTGAATCTGAATTTAAATCTAAACAAGATTGGTACATTGCATTTGATTATATCTTTTTAACCTATGGGCCTTGTTAACCTATTGACAGAAACAGGTCATTTTTCTTTGGAGTATCCCAGTCTGCATTTTGTTGATTACATTCCTGTTGAATCATTTAGCATGTTCTTTTTCTATAAACAGATAAATCTTGATATTATTTTCTGTAAACAAACAGATCTGAATTCATGGTACAATTCAGATGTGAGGTTCTTGGCAAGAATCCTGCATGGTAGTGAGTTTCCGCCAGGATGGCTTAGGGTTTTGATGCCCATAGACCAGCTGTGTGTGACGCGGCTGTGGAATGGAAGTTCTCCGGGCAGTCTTAACCCCACGCATGGCTGAGTGGGGGGAGTGGGGTCTCTCAGAGTGGGCTACTTTGACAGGAGTGGACACTCGGGAGCTGACTAAGAAGTTGCGAGAACAAGGGTCTCTGCTGGGAAAGCTGGTCCAGGATGGGACAGATCCTTCAACCCTGCCATTCTTGGACCCCAATGCCCGCCCTCTGGTGCCGGAGGTCTCCATTAAGGTACAGTGGGCGAGTGGGAGAGTGTTGTAAGCTGTCGCACAGTAATTACAGTCTGTCCGTAACCATGGAGAGCATTGAGGCAGAATCAGAAGAGGCCTCCACGTTAGGGGGCGGTGTGTGCCTATAAATACCCACTGATCACAGCTGCCACCCATTGCCCTTCCTTTCACAGGCTCCACAGGTATACAATGCAGGGGGCACCCCTCGCATTCTTGCTTTGGATTGTGGCCTGAAGTATAATCAGATCCGATGCTTGTGCCAGCGTGGGGCCGAGGTCACTGTGGTACCCTGGGACCACGCACTGGACAGCCAGGGTGAGTAGCTGGGGTCTCTGTAGGACCACAGGCAAACGGCATGTGTGGAAGATCTGTCCCTGGGTCTAATCGCTAAAGCCAACGTGATTTTCAGGGAAGACAATGGAGATCAGGACTTTTGCTCCAAGGGTAAGGGCTGCGAGTGTGTCTAGTTGAATACTGGTTATGACGTCATCTTTTCTGCCCATTTCAGAATATGAGGGTCTCTTCCTGAGTAACGGCCCTGGTGATCCTGCCTCCTACCCCAATGTGATATCCGCACTGAGCCGTGTCTTATCTGAGCCTAACCCCCGGCCTGTCTTCGGGATCTGCCTGGGACACCAGCTGTTGGCCTTAGCCATTGGGGCCAAGACTTATAAGATGAGGTGGG